CAGCACCCCTTCAGTTCTACTGAACCGAAGGGGTCCTGGGGCCGAAGCTAGCTGAAGGATCGGCCGAAGCTACGGCCAGATCCTTCGGCAGCTTCGTGAATAGACCCCCTAGTATATTAAATACTGTATGCAATGCAGAATTTTTTGTACTCAACATCTTCAGTTGAAATGAGTAAGATTAGTAGTTAAAGAATGAACAACGGTTTTGGGCATACCCGCCCTGTCTCAATTTGAAATGTGTGCACAAGTGGTATAAGAATCAAATTGATCTCTCCTAAGAGGAAACATGTCATCGTTACTAAGTAACCAATGGAAACATAGTGACATAAAGTCAATTCAAGCAGTCTCAGCATCAATTACAAAACAATAATTTCTCCACCAATAAAAAAAAGTTTCACAATGTCTGCAAATGTAATAGACATATCCGATTAGTTTAATTATGAATTTAAATTCATAAGATTTTCTGTAAATTCAGATATTCGGAGGCATCGAAATTTCCGAAAGACAGAAATAACGAATACGAACGTATTCAAATGTTTCATTCAGAACGAAACAGAAGCAGGAGAGCTATGTATCATTTACAGCTCCCAGGCTTCTCTGCTCTTTATTGACATTATTATTATTATTATTATACAGGATTTATATAGCACCAACAATTTGTGCAGCGCTTTACAAAATGTAGGAGACAGTACAGTTACAATACAATTTACCATCATACCAGGCCACATGCCCTCGACATTGGAAGGGTGCTCTTCCCCACAAGCCTGGCCCGGTACATTGTGGACATCGTGGAACTTTTTTTTTAAATAATGGAATTGTCAAGAACTTTTGTTGTGTATTTTGTTCAATTAAAGGATTATTTTAATGGTGTGGTGTTTTTATTCAACTCTTTAGTGAATAAGTAGGGGATACAACTACCCCTTACTCATTTACAAGGGGGGCAGTATCTGGGAGCCCCCTTTATTTAAAAGGGGTACTCAGATGCAGATGAGGCCCCCTGCCTGCAGACCCCCACAACCACCAGGCCAGGGTTGTGGGGAAGAGGTCCCCCCTGGAAAAGCACCCTCCAAATGCCGAGGACATGTGGCCTGGTATGGTGCAGGGGGAGGCACTTGCTTGTCCCTTGCTATTTTAACTTGCAAAAGCCAATAGCAGGCTGGCTATTGCTCCGTCCTCTGCCTGATGTCAATCAGCAGAGGAGCAGACCTGAGAGAAAGTTCTCTCCTCTGCTGATTGACAAAAGGTTGAGGGCATGTGGCCTGGTATGGTGCAGGGATTTGGAGCCGCTTGCTCGTCCCCCCCTTTCCTGTCTTGCCAGGCTGCTGCCCTGATTAAAAGTCTAGTATGGGATTTTAGGGGTTTGGGGTCTTTTTTTGTTTTTGTTGTTGGGGTCCCCCTTAAAATTCCTTCCAGACCTAAAGGGTCTGGTGTGAATTGCCGGGGGAACCGTGCGCTGTTTTTTTGGGTGCTTTTTTACATTCAGGATCCCTCCTAACATTCCTGCACACTGTTTTATTTTATTGTTCCTATGGGCTGTCAAAAGTTAAAAAGAAACAAAGTAAACATTTAATGTCACGTTTCTGCAACTAATTTTCATTCGTAATTATCATTTAACTCATTCGAAAATTTGTGCGAATACGAATGCCGAAGCGAATTGACCTTCTAACCGAATCCCCAAAAAACTAAATAATGAAGCATCCAAAATTAAGCGAAACTAAACAAATTTTTGGGGGGCTTACATGTCTAAAATTTAATATAATACAAATAATTTACAACTTAAAACCACTACTATAAATTGCAAATAAAGATTTTTGCTAAGGTAACTTGTAGCTCAAGGTGGTTCCTGAGCCCTGCAGAGTGCCTACAATGATGGCTAGTCACAACAGCCATACATTTCTCATCCTTTGACAAACACAGTGGTGGAGGTTTATCAAAACTGGAGCTGACAGAATCTGGAGCAGTTGTCCATGGCAACCAATCAGCATCTCTATTCAGTTTGCTCAGTTGAGGTTTGAAAATGAGGGAAAAAAAGCTGATTGGTTCCAATGCAAATCTGCTCCAGATTTTGTCTACTCCAGTTTTGATAAATTCCCCCCAGTGTGTCTATCAGGCTTTCTATTATCTATGAGAACTGTCTGATATATAACCTTGTGTTACTATTTATATATTTTAATTAGCACAAAGTAAGATTATGGCGAAAAGGTTATACATCTGAGCATTTTAACAATGTTGTAGTATTACAACCATAGTCTAAAACATGTAATATTGACCATGGTCAGACCTTTGTGAATGCCTACTGTATATACATTTGGTAGTGACAGGAAATTACTCAATGTCCCATTAATTTATGTCTGAAGCTGCATATTCACATTCTAATGTGTCTTTCAACACAACAGTGCTGGCTACATCTATAGGTCATAAACGTGAGGACAATACTTGGCCTTATGCTTAGAGTAAATAAAGATTTCTACAAACCTTGACATCTTATTCTGTGTTCAGAACTATTCTAACTCACAGTGGATGGTTTCACTTTGAATTATGTCACATATTTGTATTAGAACAGCTCAGCTTTATTAAAGGTTTGTGTGGATGGATTTAGTGGTTTAATTATGGGAAGAGAACACTTTCTTACTTAAAAACTGAACAATAAAGATTACTTGTGATTTTCTGGCTAATTATTGTGCAAGAAAATGCATCACAAAACTCTGCAATGGTGATGCTAACTTAATTGCAGCAGATGTCTCTTAAGTAAACTTTTCACTTTGTCAAAGTGTCTAAACTGAAGCAGAAAAATTTAAAAAGCATCACTGGGCACCTCCATCAGTTTTCCTGGAAACCTAAAGCTCTTCAACTTGGAGCTTTCAATATGCAAATATCTACATTAAAAGAAAACTATTGGGTAACCTTTTTATCCCATAGTTCTCTTTAGGGTCACGGGAGGACATATACTAATGTCCTCCTGTGACCCAAAGCTCAGTACATAGCAAGCTACAGCGCCGCAACCGGGATGGATCCCAACAATACTGTATTTCCTCTGTATGGGTCACAGAATATGGGGAACTGCTTTAATGGATGTAGGGCATGTGGCACGAGCTTGGATATTGGAGCACAAAGTCGGGACATCCTAAAACATTTAATGTGAAAATGGCTTAATGTAGCTTAATGTACCATAATGTGCCTAAACCTCAATCAAATGCCTGAAATCCATGAAACCTATCCCGTAAGTTTCATGAATTTTGGCTACCCACAGGGCAAATGAGTGACATTAAGCTTTTTTTGGGGGGAGCTTAATGTGGCTTAACGTACAAAAAACAACTTAGATGTTAACCAATTTCCCCCAAACTTCCAATACCACACGACTCTATCTATGCCAACATATTCTGAAGATTTGGGTTCATTTGATATAACATACTAAACGTTATTCACATTAAACTATTTTATTACAATGCTAAAACATCTAATGTGAACAGCTTAATGTGTAAAAAAGTATCTAAACCTCAATCAAATGCCTTGAAACTTTGCACGACCTAGCTTCTCAGCTTTCATAACCCATCCTGGAAGTTTCATGGATTTTGGTTTCCCACAGTGCAAATGAGTGACATTAAGCTTGTTTTTTTGGGGGACCTTAATGTGGCTTAACGTGAAGAAAACAACTTAGATGTTAAGCAATGTCTCCCAAACTTCCAATACCACACGACTCTATCTATGCCAACATATTCTGACGATTTGGGGTCATTTGATGAAACATACCAAAAGTTATTCACATTAAACTATTTTATTACAATCCTGGAAAACATTTAGCTTAATGTAAGAAGAGCTTAATGTACCATTTTGTGCCTAAACCTCAATCAAATGCCTTGAAACGTTGCACAACCTAGGTTCTCAGCTTCCCAAACCTATCCTGGAAGTTTCATGGATTTTGGCTACCCACAGGGCAAATGAGTGACATTAAGCTTGTTTTTTGGGGAGCTCAATGTGGCTTAACGTACATAAAACAACTTAGACGTTAACCAATTTCTCCCAAACTTCCCATACCACACGACTCTATCTATGCCAACATATTCTGAAGATTTGGGGTCATTTGATATAATGTGAATAACTTTTGGTATGTTTTATCAAATGACCCCAAATCTTCAGAATATGTTGGCATAGATAGAGTCGTGTGGTATTGGAAGTTTGGGAGACATTGGTTAACATCTAAGTTGTTTTTTGCACGTTAAGCCACATTAAGCTCCCCCAAAAAAACAGCTTAATGTCACTCATTTGCCTTGTGCGTAACCAAAATCCATGAAACTTCCATTATAGATTTTGGAACTTGGGATGTGCAAAGTTTCAAGGCAATTGATTGAGGTTTAGGCACATTAAGCTATATTAAGCCATTTTCACATTAAATGTTTTAGGATGTCCCATAAAGTCTTCATTGCATAATGAATGAATTTTGGATTTAGAGATATTTTAATTGAGACCTTGCCATCTGCAGCAACTAAGGCCTATAGTGGACAGTGCAGCAGCAAGTTTTCATTAGTTTTAGGATCATTAGCTTTCACAGGATTCAGCAAGAATGCCTATTTGTCACCCTAGTTTCTGTATACTGCAAGGTCCGCTTTAAGTTTCACCAGTAAGGATGTTGTGCATTTAACAGTCTCTTGTACCAACAACTATGCTGTAATTTGTCACCTTGGTACAGCAACACAGATTCTATTGGGTTATTTACTAAAGGAGTTGAGAATCTTAACTCGAAACATTGTGTTAATATTCACTTCAATTATCCAATTACGTGAAAAGCTTTTGCACATAATTGGTTATTCAAAGTGAACAGGAATTTGCTTTTCACATCATTGGATAATTTAAGTGAACATTAACACATGTTTAAAAAAAGGATTGTGGATTGTGAGGATTGTGATAAGATATTCGGTATTGGGTGTTGTATTTTGACAAGTGAATTTCTTTAATAGATTAAATACAATTAAAATAGAAACAAAATCTACTGTGAACAATACCTGTAACTCCACAATATTGATAATTTGCAGTTCTATTTTCTGTTGTCTTTCCTTCTGCAGCTCTTTTCCTTCTGTAAACCCGATGGGCGTGACCATCTGCAGTGCGTGTCTGATTTACAGGTTCAATGTATATGAAGTCTTCATTAATTTGTATAAAGCCCATCTAAGAAAAAAAATATACAATTAGAACAAAATATATATAAATATGAGAAGCCTGAAGCAGGTAGATTTCATATTTGATAGTATATTTAAGACAATTTCGCTAAGTTAATAAGTTACTAGCATCCCCCAATGAGTTATTAGCATCCCAATACCAGATAGTTTGTGGGTTATTCAATATGCAACTTTAATATCCAGTAGTGATTTATTGTGTCTTTACTGAAATTGTGAGGGTTATTAACAAAGCTGGCGAAGGCAGCCATGTGATAACTGACCCGAAGTGAAGGGAGCCGAAAGCTGTTCAGCTATTCACTTCAGGCTTGTACAGTTGATTTAAGCCATGCATCGGCTGAAATCATCCATACATCGGCTTGCTTCAGCTGGGTTCGGGTCGGCTGAACATGCCCAGCATGTTCGGCCGACCTGAAGTGCAGAAGGAGTTTGACTCAGCTGATCCAACACCTGAATTGGCTGAGCCGAACCTCCGGCAGGCAACTCGCTGCTGTTCTGCCTATTCTCATAGGGGCATTCGGCTCGGCTATTCTGCTCGTTACCTCCGTGGTACCGAGCAGAATAGAAAAACTGTAAAAAAAAAGACAAAAAAAGGGAGAAAACGAGTGGGCAGAGCTAGCAGTGACAGCTAGCTCCGCCCAACTGTTTCCTATTGGCCGAGACCTGCTGTCACTACAATGAGAGCTCAGCGGAGCCGGCGGGGATCTCATTGATATCACTGCCGGCTGCGCTGAGCTCTTATTGTAATCACAGTTCAGCGTCCCCTGGTTACTGGGTAACCAGGGGACGCTGGACTGTGATTACTGGGTAACCAGGGGACGCTGGACTGTGATTACAATGAGAGCTCAGTGCAGCCGGCAGTGATATCAAGGCTGGCCCCGCTGAGCTCTTATGACAGTTCAGTGTCCACTGGTTACCCGGTAACCAGGGGACGCTGAACTATCATTATACAATGAGAACTCGGCAGAGCTCTCACAAATCAGTGTCCCCTGGTTATCTGGTAACCAAAGGACGCTGATCTGTCATTGCAAGTGGCCAGAGCCAGCCGTGAGATGATGGCTGGCTCTGACCAGCTGTCAGTAGCAGGCTTTCGGCCGGCCAATGGCAGGCCGTTCGGCCCACTTCGGCTTTCACCTCGGCTCAGACGAGCCGAAGCATATGCCTCGATTTACCTTAACTTCATGTCTGAAAGTGAGGGAAATCCCCGTTGGTTAGCATGGACTCCAGGACTAGTGCCCCAAAGGAAGATTTCCCGCCTATTCCTGTTCTGATGACAACCCAAAATTTGGGATTTTCACTCTCACTTTCAGTGATAACAGTCACCAGGACAAATGGGGAGGGTGAATTTCTCTAATGGAGACATAGACAGCAAGTACAGGTGTACTAATCCCATACCACGCAATCCAAATTTAAAAAATAAATAATACAAAAGTGTTGGCTTCAGTTGCACTTTAACTGCAGGCAGAAGGCTACATCCACAGTGAAAATGCATATAGGGGAGCTAATTTGCCTGCAGTTAGATCATCATATCTGCCTCTAGCATGTGACTGGATGCTGAAGGAGTCGCTGAAGATTGATGAGGTAATCTCTCTCATCTCTGTCCTGTCATCAGATTCTGTGTCAGCACATGTGAACTTAGAATACCTGAGTGACCCCAAGTGCTGCCTCTCCCTCTCTCAGCCTGAGTTTTGCTGGGTACACAAGAGTCTGACATCCATAGGATTATAAGATGTTGATATCCAGTCAAGCAATGTAATGCTTTTTCAATAATCACATAACTGCATTAATTATAATGATATATCTTCATGAAGTTCAGCTTTAAGTATAATTGGTTAATTGAAGAATGCTAACTCACATAGAGTTGCATATACCTAAACTGGCCCTTAAGGTATTCCCTAAAAGCAAATAAGTCATTCTGACAAAAAAAAGAAAGATGTGAGTAAAAATTTTGACACACAGGTGGCAGCAAAATGCCATGAATCCCAGTGTTGAGGACCACAACAGAACTTTCTATAATATCATAGGGGTGCACACAAGTTTCTGCTGGGTGTGCATGAGCACACCCTAATTACCCCAAGCACAAACCAAAATGGCAACCACTGCCGTGTTTTTGGTCAGTGAGCCGGTGGAGAATCACAAAAATCTTTTTGATCGGCTCAGTGATACATAGGGTTGCCATACCACCTGTCCGGGATTCACATCACCGTTCCTTTAGCACTCACTTTTAAGTTCTGTAGGTGACCAACTGGAGTGTGCCTGGGTGGATTTTGCAAAGGACCAAGTTGCAGTGGAATCCTGATCGTGGCCGATCATGGAGGCTGATGTGCTGCGGAGACTGGCACCAAAGCTGGGCATCAGCTCCAGCCGGGTCCTGGGGTACGTGTGCACGGGGGTGGGTGAGGGTTTGCACAGCAAGTATGCCATGGCAGGTTGGGTCACTAGCACTTATCATCAGAGGCAGAAGAATGTGGGTTGCAATTGTACAAATGCAAAGAATTGCAGGTTTCAGCCTAGTGCTTCTGCATTTGGACAATTGCAACTCACTACCTGCAGGTTGCAATTGTTGCAAAAGTCAATGCTAATATATCATTAGCATTGACTTTGTCCTGAAAGAGGCTCCTCACTGAAATTGGAAATTGGCTACTACCTAGTGGATAACCATAAATCCCAGCTTGTCCTCGTAGTCAGACATTGTCATGTCATGCTGGTGTCTCTAGTTATCTAGAGTTAGCTGTCGAGTATTTGCTGGCTTTCTCTGTTCTGAATGCAGAAGATGACATGCTTGTAGCATGCTTACTGGGGTCACGGCCATAGGCGTGTGTACGGGGGGGTGTCTGGCCACACCCTTATCACCCCAAGCGCAACACTGAAACCGCAATAGTAGGTGCCATGTTTTTAGTCCCTGAACTAGTGGATATATCACAAAAATCTCTCTGTGACACGTGTATATACAATAGATATATATAGATATATATCTATATACCTATAGATATATATCTATATATATCTATTATATATACACGTGTGTGTTTTTACTTTTTTACAATAGGCTGCACACACCTATGCATGATATACATTCACATCAGTCCCTGCTCTCAAGGAGCTTACAATCTAAGGTCCCTATCTCACATGCATATATACACTCACACAGATGCTAGGTCCGAATTAGGAGCCAATTAAACTACCAGCATGACTTTGGCGTATGGAAGGAAACCAGACTACCTGGAGGAAATCCATAGATGAAAATGACATACAAACTCCATTCATATAGAGTCCTGACTAGGATTTATACAAGGACCCCCAGTGCTGCGTGGCAGAAGTGCTAACCACTAAGCCACTGTGCTGCTTTTACATATGTATTTTTGGGCAGTTCATCATTTGCACCTTTTTATTTAATGATGTACAGCACTGCTTTATAAATAAATAAAATATACAGTATATTTATTAGGGATGCACCGATACTTTTTGAGTAGCAGTGCCCAGTGGCGTAACAACCGGGGGTGCAGCAGGGGCGCGGGCCCCGGGCGAAAAGTGAAGGGGGACGTGATTCCTTTCATCCCCGCTGGGACACAGAGCAGTGCCCAGTGGGGATGAAAGGAATCAGAGAGAAAATGACAGCCAACACTGGCAGTGCCGATACTTGGCATTTTCACAAGCACTACCAGGTTTGCAGTGGTTTCAGCTGGGACCTGGCTCTGGTGCTCCACCAATGTCCTGAAATAATTAGTCCGTATTGTGTTAGAAAATCTGTCACATGACAATAAACAGAAAGGTATCAGTACTCGTACTTGTAAGTACTTGGGCAAGTAATAGTACTTGTACTTGCAAAACTGGTATCTGTGCATCCCTTTATTTATATTTTTAAAAACAAAATCATACATTAAAACAGAGATGCACAAATCCCTGGAGCTTTGTGTGCTCCTTACAAATGGCAGCTGCCTCCTAACTTTTGAATTTTTCTTTAGTCTAGACTTGGTTCTTGAAAAGTATCTGTACTTGTACTTGTATGTGTACCGAGTGCGGTATTTGGTATCGGTGCATCCCTAATATTTATATTAACATATTGTAAAAAAATATACCTTTTGTCATCAATGGTTACATAACCTAAAATAAAATTTGTAGTAACAGTGACACATAGAAATACTTTTTTTCTCCTTTTACTGCAGACTGTGTAGATATGGGATACATATAAATGAGTGGTATTAGGAATACATTATAGCATTCTTATAAATAGTAAGGAAGACATTGGTATATACATGGCATATGCGGTAATGTCTCAGAGCATGATTGGTATGAATAAAACTTGGTATAACAAAGAGAAAATGGGGGCATGCAGTTCAGCAAAGTTCCAATCAAATCATGATCTTTGTAAGATGGTTTGAATCATAAAGAAAGTGCACATGAAAATCTACATATGGAATGTGCACTTCACATCTGGAGGAGCTTCTGAAGCTTTGTAACTGGATCCTCGATCAGGAAATGCCCAATATACGTGCAGCATTTTTGAATTCAGCTATGAGGGTGCAGCAATGGGATCGTTTACCAGTAGTGATCAGACTGTTATGCAAAAATTTACAGCTAAAAGCCTGAAATGACCCAGAAGTTCAAATAAGATGACCAGACCGAAAAGGTTTCAGAAAGAAAACTTCAATTATAATTTTTAAATATAAATTATGTGAGCTGACACATGCAGGTAATATAGCTACTGATACTAATAAGTAAAAGCAGAGAGAGCAAGAGCTTATAGTGACACTAAACTCCAGAGTTAAATCTTAAAAATGCATTCAATTACCTTGACTATGAACAAACATGTATCTTATTTGTGTATTACTCAGCTGTAAATCCTCAAATAATCTCTGAATTGGTGATGACACTTTCCTTCCTTCTGGAGGGTGGCTACTTTTGTTCACCATGGACCCTGTGTGTTGTAAAGTAGTCACCACTCCAAGCTCACTCCCGTGATGGACTACTATCTCGTGTTGAGTTTACTAA